TTTTTTTACATAAGAAAGAACATATTTGCATCATGAAATTAGAAATATAACAATGTAGAACATAAAATCGTCATTTGAATTTAGTACCAAATCACAAAAGTGAGTTCTTTAAGTTGTAAGGCAATGACCCTACAGTATTAGAGAGAAAACCACAACAATCAGATGATACCCTATGGGCAAAGCACTTGGTGATGGTGGGAAGGAAAGCCTCCCTTTTAACAGGAAGAAGCCTCCAGGGAGGGACAGACATGTGCCACAACGGTTGGAAGATGAGGTGAAGCTCCTGAGCAATTTATCTTGCTCTTTCAATTATATAAGCTATGTTCTGATCTTTGATAGGATTAGAACACAGCACAGTCCCTTCAGTTTTCAAATGCGTACAGGGTTGTAAACACAGTGGCAAAAATGTTCCTAATCACACTTTTGTGAAATATGTCAAACTCAAAACAACCATGTGTTTTTCAATAAAACAATCTCTGTTGCTTGAGGCATTCAACCACATCACGTGGTTTTAGCAGCCTGTTGACGTTGTTTCGTTACCAAGAATTGTTATGTTGTTGCCTAACCTCTCAGATGCCGTTTCCAAGAATCAACTTTGTGTGATCACAGCTCTAGAACAGCTAATGTACTAAACAGACTCTGATATGAATGTCAGAGGCCATTTCTTCACCATTATAGATGAACTCTTAACCTAAGTTAGACATAATGTTTTTACATCTAATGTAAAAACATTATATGTATACAGATATCCTATTTAATCACAGCAATATCTCTTTCACTTTCAGACTGTTCTTGGCAGTGTCCACTTTGATGCTGCTCACCCAGAGAATCACCTCTGTGTCTTTGGACCTTCAGGAGAAACGAGTCGTACTGACAACATCCAAAAGGCAGACTTGTGTCACGCTTCTCCCTCTTATCAACTACATCCTCAATTTTACCACACTGCTTGGTGGTCCTTTGGGTTCCTATGGACAATTCATTACTCCAATGGAGGGGATCAACCTCACCTCGCCACCCAGTCCACTAGGTGTAGTTTTCCTAAAGCTGATGCAAGTGTTAATGCTAGAGTGGGTTAGATTTTATCTTGTCTTTTTTCTGAAACACCTTATCCATGATTTCAACCCTGGCATCCTCTATGGCATCCTGTCGACCTGGTGTCTTGGACTGGTTTTAAGAATACAGTATTACTCTCACTGGAAGATCAGCGAATGCCTCAATAACGCAGCAGGGTTTGGCTTTTGGGAAGATTCATCTGGGGACTATTTCTCCAAATGGAGCGGACTATCCGATGGGGACTTCTGGACCACTGAGGCATCGATATGCATGTCACAGTTTGCT